GTCCCGTCCAACTCACAACATTCTATGATTCCATGTAATCAGCTGGTGAAAAGCGGTGATTATCCCACTGTATTCAGCATTGGTGCAGCCTCACCTTGAGTGCTGTGTGCAGTTCTGGGCCATGCAATGTTAGGATTTTAAGGTACTTGAATGCATCCAGAGGAGGGTAACAGAGCCAGTGAAGGGGCTGATAGGCAAGTCTTGTGAGAAGCACCTGAGGACTCTGGATTTGTTTAGTTTGGAGAAGAGGAGGGCGAGGGGCGACCCCTTTGCTCTCTACAGTTTCCTGAGGAAGTGGAGAGGGCGGTGCTGATCTCTTCTCTCTGAGATCTAGCAATAGGACGTGTGGGAATGGCTCAAAGCTGCATTGGGTGAGGTTCAGAGTTGCCATTAAGAAACATTTCTTTGAGAGCGGTGAAACACTGTAACAGGCTCCCTAGAGAGGTGGTTGGTGCCCCATGGCTGTCAGCGTTTAAGAGGCATTTGGACAGTGTCCTTAACAGCATGCTTTCGCTTAGTCAGCCCTCAATTGGTCAGGCAGTTGGACTAGATGATCATTGTAGGTGCCTTCCAACTGGAACTATTCCATTCTAAATACGCCAGTGTACTCTACAACTCTGTATGTTCACCCCACAGGACTAAATTACAGCTAGTTTTAAGTAAAACCCTCTGAAAGGCAGGTAAGTTGGCTGTTGGGTCCTCATTGTAGTTTCAGTCTATAGTTCCATTCCTATTGGGCTATACCAGTGGAGATACAGATAAGCTGGGATCTCAAGACTCAATTCTCGAGTTTTGAACAAAGATTTAAGTTCCCACAGGTGGAAAGACTTGGGCAACTTTTTATGCACTTTTTTGCCTGCCCAATCCTGAGCTTTTCCAGAAACTAAGGTAAGGCAAGATAAAGACAGGCACATCATTTACCATTTATTGTTATGAAAACAGACTTGACTTGGGGAAGAGTGATTTATTGCCAATTAAAAATACAGTAGGATGGTAAGAAACAAAAACAAACCTAAAAACACCTTCCCCTCACCATTCCCTTCTTCTGAGGCTCAACTTCACTCTTTCATTCCTGACGCTTCTACGTCCTCCCTTCCCAGGTGGTGAAGGGTGGGTAGGGGATAGGTGTTGCAGTCAGTTCATCTCTGCTGCTTGTTCATTTTCACACTGTTTCCCTGCTCTAGCATGGGCTCCCTCCCATGGGATACAGGCCCTCATGAACTACTCCAACATGGTTCCTTTTCACAGGTTGCAGCTCTTCAATAACTGCTCTAACATGGGTCTTTTCCATTTCAGTCCATCTAGAAAAGGCTGCTCCAGTGTGGGTCCCGCATGGGCCTCGGTTCCTGCTAGGAACTTGCTCGTGTGTGGGCTCTCTGTGGGCTGCAGCTTCCTTCAGGACACATCCACCTGCTGCTGCAGCATGGAGTTCTCCACAGGCTGGATATCTTCTCTGGTGTGGTCTTCCATGGGCTGCAGAGGAACAACCTGCTCCAGCATGGCCTTCTCTGTGGTCTGCAGGGAAGCCTGCTGCAGTACCTGGAGCACTTCCTCCTCTCCTTCCCCACTGACCTTGGTGTGCAGAGCTGTTTCTCTCACATTTTTCTTGTTCTTCTCTCACAGCTGCTGCATACCTTTTTTTACCTTTTCTGGAATATGTTTTCACAGAGGTGCAATCAGCTTTGCTGTTTGGCTCAGCAGCATCCCACAGTGGCTCTGTTTTGGAGCTGGCAAGAACCAGCTGTGTCTGCCATGAGGGAAGCCTCTGGCTTCATCTCACAGAGGCCATCCCTGCAGGTTTCCCACTGCCAAAGCCTTGCCTAGACCTATTACAATATCATATGTCAGATTTCATCCTACAAGGTGTGTTAACTCCAAGCAGTTTGATGACAAACACATTAGATTGAATTTCCAAGGGGAAAAACATCCATGTTTCACCTTTAGCATGTTACATAGTGGTTTGATGTGAAGTGTTCTTATTTTTGCTCTCTTGTTCAAAGCTGTCATCCTATTCAGCTGCTCTCTGCATTTTTTTCATTTTTTTCCACACTTGAATCAGTTTGAGTCAGACAGAAGTCCAAAGTGGAATACTTCTGTTTCTCTAATTAAAGTTTCAAATTCTGTTTGCAGTGCTTTCAGAAAACAAAACAAAAAAAAAAACCAAAACAGGATTGACCCTATTCTGTTGCATGCATGATCTTGTTGCTTATGGTTTGCAAATACTCCACTGGTAACAATAGTCTGCAAGCACTGTCTGCCACATATATTAAATTTTTTAAAATGATAGTAGGTGACCTTCCATAACAAGTAAGTTCATCAAGACCAGTTTCACTCTTGCCTTATAGACCCTCTCAGACTGCATGGTTTAGAAAGTCATACAGGCAAAAGTGTTTTCAGATTGTGATTTAAATGGTGATTGTGATTTAAATTTTCAGAATGTGATTTAAAATCACATTGTGATTTTAAATATTCTATTCTCTCTAATTATTATCTTTCGTCCCTTCCCTCATTTTTCAGTCAAGCTCAAAAAATTGCCTCACTTTTCTCCCTCACCTGCTAGAATTCAGATATAGGTGATAATAAATATTGATGAAGCATCAGAAAAGCCCCTGCCAGCCTCTAAGCAGGCATTTGTCCATTTTTGCCTGTACAGTCCCTGGGTTGCTGTCTGTATTCTTCACTCCCAATCTTTGCAGAGACCGTGGTCTAGCTGCATTCTCACAGATAATCCTACAGAAGTACGAGGAGAATTTTGCACATGGCTTTTGGTAGTCATTCACTTCCCTTTAAAGAATAACATATATTTGGCCTGACTGTACCACGCTTCTTTTGCATATCTGTCTGCTGTTCAGCATGGAAGAAGGTCACTATGAGGAAAGATGCTTCATGTCTGCCAGACACACGATTATGAGTTTTTACTTCTGGCCCTTAAATATCCCCTTGAATATATAGTAGATGAGTACCTGATCACTTGCCTTTGTGGTTCAGCTGCATTTTCTAGAATCTTGTTTGGAGAAATGAAGGTTGGGCCAGAATGTGAGGGATCCTTTGTGCAAGTCTGGGGCTAATCAGCATGTGAATCTCATAGGTTGCAAAGTTTCCAGCTTCTGCTCCTTGCAAGATTCCTGTTCTACCCAATTTAGCATTTATATATATGAGGCACATACATGTCACCTTAATATAAAATTATCTTATCAGTTAAATGGTATTGTCATTACAGAATATCTGGTGCTAATGAGGCAAGAATTAACACCATATTTTGTGTTGTTAATGTGATTGTGAGTTCAATTCACAATTTTTTCTCTTCATTTTTTTTCAGAGTTCTCTTGATATATGCTAGAAGAAATACATTCATTTTTAAAAATACCACCATTTGAAGTCAAAACTTTCAAAAGTAACTACTTATTTTGAGCTACTCCATTTTTGAGGTGCATTAAAGAAACCTGCTTTTTCTGAAAATTAAACAGTCAGATAATGTATGTGCACACAGGACTTTTGCATTGAAAAATTATTTTTAAGCTATGATATGCAGCAGCTCACTGGGAATATATTTCTTATTTCCAAACAAAATATCGATTTAGCTTCTTTTTTTTTTTATGTTGCCTGTCCCTAGGTGTGCTTTCCTTTCAGAGAAGAGGTTCTGGATGATAAAGCACATACCTGAATCAAAACACAAAGTGGTGTAAGAGCAAGGGAGTAGAGTCCAAAGTGTCTTCAATTCATTTAGAAGAAACAGCATGAGCCTTATCTAGCAACCTTGCATGGTTCCTTCCATAAACTTAGGAGCAGAACAGTGTGTCACAAAGATGAGATCCTTCAAATTAGTGTTAAAGCCAATGACAGAACAAAGAGTTGGCTATGAAGCCAAATTCAGTTCAAATTTTCAAAAGTATTTTGTTGAGAAGGAGAAGGGGTCTATTTACATGCAGGTTTTGGGGTCAGCTCTTTTTTCACCCCTTTGGATGATCAAGCTGTGAAAGTCTGAATTTAGATACTACTCCTCATACCAGGTAGGAGGAATGAGTGAGGAGGGGTTGCACAGAATGAGACTGCGATCAAACAGGAATTTATTTAAAAAAAAAAAAAAAAAGGAGCAAGGATCATTGAAGCAATTTTTAGATTTTTGTTTTGTATTTTTATGCCTCACACACACACAGTGTCTCTTCCAAATTCAATTATTTGTGTTTGAAAGACATCAGGAATAAAAAAGCTGGTGAAAACTTCCCTGCAGTGGTCTGCAGGAGATGTGGCAGAGAGAGTTACAGTTTGTGAAGAGAGCTATACTGATTTGATTTTTTTGTTACTATAGGCATCCTAGTTGTGTTGAGACCCAGCTTTCTGGAAGATGAGCTACTCACCTGTGAAGAGCACTAGCAGGTACATTTTCAGAACATAGGGGAAGTAGATTGAGAAGGCAAAAGGAAATGGTATCTTGATGGAGTATGTGCCAAAGGATTCAAAATAAGGCAGTGATACACAAATTGCAAATGCTGTAAAATAACATGGTAAATCTTTAGTAAAAAGGAGGTGGAAGATGATCAAAAAGCTCCATATAAAAGTCAGTTGCCTTTAGGCACAGACAGCTATATTACATGCTGAATTTAACATGTCATTCGTATTCATGTGCATATGTTGTTTTCTCCTTCAGTTCAGTTTTGTAGGTCTGAGGTGCCAATTGCTCTTAATGCTAGAATTAGGAAGTATTTCCTATTCAGAAACTCCTGTAGTTGCACTGCTTTCCGTATAATCTCAGTGGGCACATTTCCTGGTGTAAGTATGATAAGCTGCTATGTAAGGTCAGCCTCAGCCGGGGAGAAGGCAGCTTTGGGACTTGCTGTCTAATGCGGCCAATGTGGAATGGGGGAATCCATACATTTTTTGTGGGGGCATTTTCCTGCTTTACCCAAAAGAACTAACATTTTCCCCATACTGTTAAACAAAACAAAACAAACCAGTCACACAATCCCCAGAGAACCCCTATTAAGGGAAAAGTACAGAAAGGGGAAAAATGGCTGACACACACATTAATATGAGAGTACATAAACACCTACGACTACTTTGGCAACACAAAAAGAAGTATCTTAAACACAAATGACAATGGAGCGGATCACATTTTATTGGAGAAGATTAAGGAATCAAGTCATGGGTACCTTTCCCATCTCCTTACCTTTAGCCAGAACTGAAAGGGGATAGAGCGGGATGCACAGTGAGAAGTTGAGCCATGTCAGTGGTAGGTAATATATTCCTGTCCTTGCTAACATGTTGTAAGTGTACCTACAGCAAAAGGAACAGCAGATGAGCTCAGACGGAATGATCATGTCCTTAAAATAAAGATATATTACTGAAAAACCCAAGGGAATTGCAGAATAGCTTAGAACTGCCTGCCTGAGAAAATTCAGAGCAATATTGCAACAGTTTTGTTCAAGCTCTAGTGATGCCTGAAAGCAGATGGTTCATTGTTTCATAAGGATTCTGTGGTGCTATCCTAGAGCAGGCAAACAACAATACAGCCCTCCAGCCCAAAGGCTGCATCAGCAACCAGCATGATTTTGTATTGGTCCATCAGAAAATGGATTTCAGTTAGGGATGTGACAACTGAGAGGGGCAGGCAGAAAATGACTCTTGCTTGGGACTGAGAAAATGATGATTTATGACTGAACTAGATAAACCACTGCTGAAGGAGACTAAACAGCAAAGTGATAGCAGATACTTAATCCTTTGTAGTACATCTGCCCCAATGTTGTTCAGTTGTGCTCCAATGTATTGGAGAGTTTTATTTTTACTGTAACTGTTACTGTTGCTCACAGGGAGACCAGAATGCTCAGGACTTCAGTCTCCACAGGTAAGCTAATCCTAGCTATTCTGATCTAGAATCATAGAATGGTTTGGGTTGGAAGGGACCTTAAAGATCATCCAGTTCCAACCCCCCTGCCATCAGCAGGGACACCTTCCACTAGACCAGGCTGCTCAAAGCCTCATCCAGCCTGGCCTTGAACACTTCCAGGGAGGGGGCAGCCACAGCTTCTCTGGGCAACCTGTGCCAGTGTCTCACCACCCTCACAGTGAAGAATTTCTTCCTCAGATCTAATCTAAACCTCCCCTCTTCCAGCTTAAAGCCATTTCCCCTTGTTCTGTCACTACCTGCCCTTGTCAAAAGTCCCTCCCCAGCTTCCTTGTAGGCCCTTCAGGTACTAAAAGTAGTACAACAGCTTTCCAAACACTGGAGAAACAGGTCTGATCACATTTTTGGTCAGCTGAAAGGCTTTTTGCCCTGTGGTCTTCCTAGAGATATGAAAATAAGGATTTTTAAGCCACTGTTGGGCAGGACCGTTTCTGACAGAGGGAACCA